AACTGACCATGGCGTGAGACCGAAACTGACCATGTCCTGATCCGAAACTCTACCGGAAAACTCAGCACCGAAACTACCCTCGAAAACCCTGAAACTCACAACTTCCCTCGTGTGATCATCGACAACTTGCGACTTGCCAGCCACCAGTACACGCAAAACACGACACCCGAATGTGAATGCCGAAGCCATCGGCTGCTGGAGACGACTCAAGTCATGTCGGGGCAACCGCTCGCTCGTTGCTTGAGTGAGCGCCCCACCATCCGTATCATCGCTGATTTCTATAATCTCAGGGTGCAAGGGCATGTTGAGAGCCTCAGATCTTTGCCACAACATGCCTTCAAGAACGCAGCCGTTCTCTTTCCTATCATTGACACGTGACATGAGACTTTGTGACTCTACACATGTCATCGAGCCCTTTGCAGATCTCCTGGTCCTCAAATAGGTACCCTAGCCAGCCTGCCATGCCTTTTCATCCAGTATCAAGGATTTCCTGTGAAACATATGGTCCTCACGAGCGAATTCGGCAGAGCTGCTCGATTGCCAGCCAGATCGAGAAGTGCGGACGCAGAAGATCGCAAAGAGTACCTGCGACCTGCCAGCATGAAGACTTTGATAGTCCGATTGATACAGAGCAGTCCGAGCCTGGATGGAATGGGCCATGGATGGTGACCCGGTTGCTCTCCACCGTCGCATCGTAGTAGAGCTCGGCCTCGATCCGATTCAACCGAGCGATCATAAGGCAAGCTTCTGTGCATACCGGCACTGAGAGTGCATTGTTCTACGCGTTCATGCCTCTCTCTAGTGCGTTTTATAGTGACCACCTGTGGTGTTGCGACATCTCTCGCTGGATGGCTGCAACTTGAGAGTGATCGGAGGGAGCCTCGGTGTCTGCATCGATCAGCTCAAGCATTCCTGCAAGCTCGACATGAGAGCAGTCGTAGTTGTTGCCGCTGTCGTAGTCGTAATAATCACAGTCATCGTAGCAGTAGCAGGAGCTGCAGTAGACGTCGTCATTTGTAGTTAGTAGTCAGTACATAGCAGTTCGTAGTTGGTAGTCCATAGTAGTTCGTAGTTAGTAGGTGTTAGGCAGTAGCTAGTAGTGGCAGCAGTGGCAGTAGTGGCAGCAGTGTCATTAGTGGCCGTAGCGGTAGTGGCCGTAGTGGTAGCAGCAGTAGTAGTCCTCGTCGTGGTAGCGGTGGTGGTAGTAGTAGTCGTCGTCGTCGTAGTAATAGTAGTAGGACTAGTAGTAACAATAATGCATGGTAGTGGTAGTGGTGGTGGTAGCAGTAGTAGCAGCAGCAGCAGCAGCAGTAGTAGCAGCAGTAGGAGTAGTAGTAGTAGTAGTAGTAGGAGTAGTAGGAGTAGTAGGAGTAGTAGGAGTAGTAGTAGTAGTAGCAGCAGCAGCAGTAGAGGTAAGACGTAATAGTACTAGCACAAGTACCTGTACTATTGCTAGTACCAGCCAGTACTGGTGAGCTAGTAATGCTGGTAGCAGTAGTAGTAATCGGCCAACCCCAAAGTTGTGTGCCTCACCGAAACCCACAACCCTGAATCCAAAACATCCTCAACCCTGGTGGGGTAGACTGTGTGCAAAAAACCTAGAGCAAATCAGCAAGAGCAGTGTAGGAGAGGAGCAGGAGGGAGAGGTCGTCGTCGTGGCGGTGGCGTTTGTCGTCGTGGTGGCAGGAAGAGGATGACGTTTAAAGTGCGCTGCTGCTGATGTTCCTCCCTTGCTGTTGATGCTGCGATGCGGGCAGCAAGAGCGATGATATGGGCGTTTAGGCCACTCTGAAAAATCAAACTTTCGCTGCGACGTTATGCTCGACCTGATCATGGCGCAAGCAGGTCCTCTGTTGCCAATCGCACCCTCGAACATGACAGCCTCTGAGAAGATCAGTGTCACCGTGCCGTGCGGCTCTTCCTGAGAACTTCGGAAGGTGCCGGGTTTCGCCCACGGGCTTAGCTGTGCTGCAAGTTGCCTAGCATGCTGCACCCTTTCGATGGCAGGTTCTCAAAGGCAGGCAAGTCTCTGTGATCTGCACAGCGAGTACCACCTGAAGAGAGGAAGCATCTGAAGCAGGCAAGCCCCACTGCGACTTAAATCGTTACTTTCGCGAGGAGAGCGTCGCGCACCGGACTGGGCCCAACAGTCTCGTCACAGTCTCCCGATCATGTCGCAGCCCTACGTTAAGCCAATGCATATCTGCAGCTTTGATGCTGGAGGGATGATGTCGCCCTCTTGGATGGAGAAACCTCAAACGGAACGCTGAAGAAGCAGCACGGCCCACGCTCATGGCAGCATTCATGATAGGAATCACGCACAAAGGAACAAAGAGCCCAACAAAACTAAGGATTATGAAAATGTATATGTGAATAACCCGAATGACAACAGTCGGGCAACAATTATAACAGTCCTGATGAAGCATTGTATGTTGTGTGCAGATATATCCTAGTCCTACTCCGCACGGAGCTACATGAGCTACTCGATCCCCATATCTCAGTTCCGCATGGATCTATCTCATGGATCCGTGCACAGGGTGCCTCTTCGAGGATATTATGTTTGCTTTTGGTGGGTCATGTGTGAGCAAGTGAGTGAGTGAGGGAGGGAGTGAGGGAGCGGAGAGGGAGCATGAACGCATGAGTGGGTGTGAGGTGAGGGGGGCGGGCAGGTGGGTGGGCGCATGGGTGGGTATGTGCATGTGCGAGCGCCCGCGCTTGCAGGTGCAACCGAGTTTATGCAAGAGCAATGCTTGTATCACTGCACACTGTATCAATGGATTGTTTAAGTACGAGGCCACGCTGCGTCCGCGTGTTGCAGGCTTTTGGTGTGACCCACACAATATTGCACAAACACTCCTGCCCTGCCCCCTTTTGCCTGGGCTCTTTGTTAATTTATTCTAATCGACGGGATGCTAACCCCCTAGCCGAGTAAGTCGACAGGAGTGAAAGTATGGTTCGTCACGTTCCTTGGGGCAGTTGAGCACAGCAGAAGGTGGCCTCCCCACTCCAGTCTTGAAGGAACCCTGAAGAACCAAGATCGGAACTCCAACACCTCCAATCAACGAAGGCCGATACTTGGGACCGCATGCATTGCGCCGCAGGGTCCCTCTGTCCAGTCCAACTGCTGCCGATCTCGCTGCTGGCATGCTGCCGAACAGTCAAAAACTAGGGACTACTGCTTCCTGACCTTCACATCATTACCTCCTCCATGACCTTCACCACCATCATTGTTCCTTCCAGTGCAGATCAGGCACTCCCACCATGGTAGGCCGCGGCCGCCACCGGCCGGCCCTCTGCAACGAAAAGGCCCTCCTCGGGCGAAAGAAAGTGGCGAATTACAAGACTTCGCGCTCGTGCTTTTCTACGTGGCCTGCTCAGACGCAGCAGTTCGAGGTGTGTCGTTTATTTCAGCCTATTTCTCGTCAGCTTGTAGCAACACGTGACGCCACTTGCAGCCATAATCATGGATTGGAGAAACTTTATCCGACACTTGAAATGCTTCTGTCTTGTCTGGCTCTAGCCGAAACCCTCATCGTCGAATTCAACATCTGCAGCACCAGTCGCCGGCATCACCAGACGAATGCTCTGGCCGAAGGCAAGGACCTAGTGCAAAAGGTGCTGCATCCAGGTTCTTATGCGCGTGGTTTCATGCAAGGCATGCTTGCAAAGGAGACAATACACGTCACTACGATGTCCCAGGTCTGCCGTTAGCCTCCTGCTCTGCACACATCCGACTTCCGAGCGAGTCAGCACTCAGAAATGCTCTGCAGTGAACCTGCGGCAGCCGCCAGGTGACGATCCTTAGATCACGAGTGACCTCTCAAGTGTCTGCTCGTTCCCGCTCACTTGCACAAAAGGCTTTGGGCGGGTTATAAGTTACAGTATATTAGTGGAGGCCCTGAGCCCTGCCTTCGCCGGACATCGGCGAATCGGCGCACGTCCAGCGATGCGGCCGAACCGTCCGCGAAGGTTGCCAAAGAACAGCGCTCGGGATCCTCGAGGCTCAGAATGCTCCGACTCTCTTCAAGGTTCGTTGATTGCGAAGGCCAGGATCTCGAGATTTCAGACTTCGGGGGGAACACCCCGCGGCCACTGATCACCGACCCATCCTCGTGTGAACGCGTCGCATCGCAAAAAAGAAGGCTGCCCATTCCCACGACGACCTGCATCAAGACCGGACCGGTGCATTCACACAAGACATGCAGCCGGCAAAATGCTGGTGAAAGAGCTGCCTTCAGCTTCATGCTGGGGCAGTTGCTGACAGTTTGCACCGCAGCTCGACAGAAGGCAGACTGAGCATGGTTGAGGACGCCCTCAGTGCCTCCTCACTGAAGTACATCGTGATCGACGTGTCGGCGGCCACATACCTCGGGCACGGCACTATCAGTGGGAGAAACCCTGACAAACAGAACTGTCTCAAAACGCTTTTCGCCAAGTGGCTGCGCCCCTGGCGCTGGGAAGCAGCCATCAGGGAGCACCCTTGGCCTTAGAGTTCCAGGCAATCCTTCATCTTCTTCTGTCAACTGGTGTCAGAAGGCTAAAAGATGGCAAGGCAGCCGTCCACGCATCAATGCCTCGCACTGCCCTGCTCCCGCCTCGCGATATCGACAGTGGGATCCTCGCCGGTGTCGATTTCCAGTTCGTACTGGGCAAGGGGCCCCGCCAAGCTGCCTGTGAAAGCGGGAGCAGCTTGCGAGCAGCTTCGAAGCAGCATTTGGAACCATCATCCGATGGCCTCTCTGCAAGGACTCTGCCCTGCGGCCCGAGCCTGGTCGGCTGTCTGCGCCCATGAAGCTGTACGGGGGTACGACGACCTTCCAGGGGCCAAGACACACTCAAGTCTGGCTGCGTCTGCTTCTGCCTGTTTCGATGCCGACTCCAACTCCTTCATTCCCTGTCCCTGCCGGATATGCATTCCTGGAAGGTCCCCGCTGCCTTCAGTCTGCGGGGCAGATCGTCCGGGAGAACAACTCGAAACTCCACAAGGCCCGGAAGCAAGACGAAGCTGCTGGCATCCCTTGGCGGCACTGTCTGGGACCATGGAAGCTTTAGGACGTGGCACTGTGGAAAGCCTGGCAAGGCCAGCGCACGGCCGACAGAAATCCCATGGCTAAGGCAGGAGCCAGGGCTCCACATAGACGCTCAGAACGGTGTCGCTGTCGTTCATGGGCTGCAGCAAAGGCGCGGTGGGCACGGCTCGTGTAATTTTGGGGGACCTAAGCATAGCTGAAAAAGTGCCTACCATGCTTTGAAAGCCCAAATAGGAGCACATGTTGAAACTGTTGTGACACCACAAAGCAACCCTGCACGCGAGTCACCTCCTGCAGCTCTTGCACTCACAAAGCACGGCCTGCAGGTTGTCGCAGTCGAAGCTCGTGCCACAATCCTGGCGAAAGAAGCACATCTCTCAGAGGCTCCGACAGGCTGTGGAGATGACGCCCTTGCACAGATCCCGAGCCACTATGCGCAACAGCTCGAAGCACTATCTGGTCGCAGACTTGGTTCAGCTATGTGCGGCTGAGAAGCCCAGACTTTCAGATCTTCTCGCATCAGCGTCGTGCCGGGGAGCTTAGCATCAAGGAAATCACTCTTCACACGAGACCAGCACAAGGGAGTGCAGAGGTTGCTGAACATCGGAGCTCCTGAAGTGCTAGCTGCTAGAACCTGCTAGAACCCAGAGATCTCTAGCAAGACCCCCAAATCAAGCCAGCTCAGCTGAAGCATTCCTGAGAGCCCAGCAGAGCCGTTCTGATAAACTCGCTGCGTGAAGTACAGAAAGCCCGTAACCAGAGTTTCCTTCGTGGATTTTGAATATGCGGCCGCTACGTGGGGAGCCGGGGACTCGTGCAGCAGTAGGATTACGCTGCAATGTGCAGACTGAGAGGCAGGAGTTGATGAGTTGATCGCAACCATGTGGGTCGCCCGTAGGATCTGGGCCAAATTGGCACAGCGTTCGACGTGCAATCCGAAAGCTCTGCCAGGGCATTAGACTCTGCCGTTGAGCAACACAGTTCTTTCCGCGTGAGCGTTTGACAATTTATGGACTTTGACTGCTGATGGCCTCTGGAGCACGTGTCACGTTCTCATCTACATCGAACCTGCCAGTGAGGGGAATGAGGACAAGTCTAAGTCTGAGTCCTCGAGTTTCCCTCCAACCTCCAACTGCCGGACCCGGTGACGTTAGAATCCAACATGGGCCTGAGTACCAACACAACGGTGCTTCTCATTGAAGTCAATTTTGCCAAAGCTTAGTTGAATTATTATAGTTCAATCCAAGACTGAGCAAGCTGCAGCGGATTGTCCATCATGTCATACAACACTCCTGGCTCACTGGTGGTAAGTACGTACCTCGGATGTTCAGCAGCTTGCACAACAGACAGGTCATCTTCCAGCGCAAGGCTGATTGCAGAACATAGATGGCATAGATGAAATGTGCATCAATGCCCTTCGTGCAGCTGGCGCTTCTTACACCTACATCCTCGATAGGGCTTCGGCGTAGCTCCCGTCAGATCCTGGCATGCGCCTGCAAGGCAGGGCCAGCACGGACAAGGCCAGGTTCCGAACGCCATGTTGCATGCCGCGGCCATTTTCTGTGCGGCTTCGGCTTTCCCGCTCGCTTCACAGCGTCATCCTCAGCATTGAGGATGCAAAGCATGCTCGCAAAACTATTCCGGTCTGCAGCTCTCTGCTTTGCCCTTTGCCACTCCTGACCTCGGAAGCGATAATTTTGCCAGGGCACCGGTGCACCTGTCAGTGCTGCGAGCGGCACAACAGTTCTTTCTCTCTTACTTTCAGGGTCTATAAGGCAAGGCTTGGGCTGATCTTGTCTACTCATCCAATCACCCCTGTACGGGCTACGACTGTCCATGGCTGTACTAGCACCTGCAGTTCCGACGTCCAGCCATAGAAGTTCACCCAGCTTGGGGTCCGCTCCTGACAACAAACCGCTTCGAACTCAAACATCCAAGTCAGCCTAGGTTGCGGCCGATCTTTACACTCTCCGTCCTTCTCGTGCTGTAGCTCTGGGCTAGACGTTTCAAGATGGAGCCCCCATATGTCCATGTCCAGTTCCCCCGCAGGTGTTAGCAGCCTGGGATGCAAACTGCTCAACCGATGCAAACCTCTGTAGGTGCATCGGCTTTACCTAACGTCTGGATATGAAAGACAGGACCGAAGTGCACTGTGCATATCTGTTGCAACAGACGCCCTCGGATGCCGCGGAACGTGAAGTTGAAGGCTTCTTCTCTGCCCCGGCTTGGGTTCACGCCACCCTCGGCAAAGAGCCTCGCACGGGTTCGGTGAACAGGAACCTCCATGGCCCCTTGAAACTGTTCGTGCTCTACGAGCCAGTGCCGGCAGGCAGCAGGAACAAGCAGTCGCAGTCCATGCGCTTGGGCGGCAGCTGTTCGGACAAGTGGTCTATGTCCACCTCGGTACTGAGCTTGGGCAACACACATGACACGTCTGCAAAGACATGCAGTCGCAAAAAGCTAGCTACTAGCACGGCGGCCAATCGCAATCCAGCGGCAGCATGCTTCGAGTCAGCCACATCCTCCATGGAAGCGAATCGTCCGAAAGACCATCGTCTGATGGCCGACCTCACGGTCACTGCCACGCTTCGTCTCAGTGGTCCCACCCGACACGAGATGTCCCGACGAAGCTCGAGATTCCAGTTCTTGCAACATACCTCCACCGACGACAGTAGAAACAGTAGTGTGTAAGCAAGGGAGCTCCGGATCGCATTCCAATATTCTGCCTCGTTCGGGTTCCTCTGTTGGCTACGACTCGGTCGCTTGCATGATCCTGCACTGGCACGTCATTAAAAGCATGACAATAACATGAGAAACGTCGTAATGTCTTGGCTGTGTTCTTTCCAAGAATTGAAATCCGATTTCCCGCCACTCTGAGACTCTATCCCACGAATATGTGCCAGGTGCCAGGGCAATGCAAGGCTAGTTTGTAGGTGGCGTTCCTACAGCACAACCATTGGAAAGAGCAACCCTGACGTAGCAGCCCAAGCAGCCGGGGGGAGAGCACCAGCATCATGTTGGGTGGGCCGCGCACGGAGACGTGCGCCTTCCGCAGATCCTCACCTTCAAATAGGAACATCTCAAGTTGGGAAGATGATGGAAGGCCTAATTCCTCACTGACCTTGCATTGTGCCCATGCTCCACACCCTCAATCTCTTAACAGTAAGACGGGTGTGGCAGTCCTGCAACGGACACGGGGACTGATGCCAGCTGGACCTTGCATGGCACGGCACTGACATGGATTCCGCAGCGAACCACCAGCAGACCGACACACTTGCTGCAACTTACTGCACCCCTTGCAACCAAACGAGCTAATAAAGCCCACATCAAAGGCAGAAGCATAAGCACTTAGAAAGGGCCTACCCTTGACCAAATGTCCTAGCTTGACTTGTCTTGGACAAGGCACGTCAATCCCGACAGGAACCTCTGGAGCGGATCTCTTTGCCCAAGCACCGCCCGTCAGGAGCCACTTCATGGGGAAGGGCAGCGGCACTTGACCGTAGAGCCTCGCGTTTGCACAAGTGGTGGAGGCTGGAAACGGCTGGAAACAGCACGATGGGCAGTTCGCAAGGATGTCTCCTGGGTCTGCAGCCAAGGCTCCCAATGTTGTTGTCGTGAGGTTCCGAGCCATTCGGAAGGCCGTATGGCGCGAACTTCCGCATGGTGTCCAGAGAGTTCCAGTCCTGGGAAACCTGGCTGCACACGCCTTTAACTCCCCGGCATCTTCGCATGTCTTCAGCCTAGACTGGTTGCACCACCGCAGGCGCGGCCCATGGCCAAGACTGATTCCCCTGTGCGGTGCGGCCTGCTGGACAACCCAAGCCAACGAGTCAAGCAGCAGTCCAGATGCCGCTCTCCATCGGCTCCCAGTGTGCTGTGGCCGTCCCGTTCTCCTCCGCGATGCAGGCTCTTTCTGCAGCTTTGGGACGCAGGTGCCCTGTCCTCCCTGCCCCATCTAAATGAACACAAGCTTAGCTCGTTTGCACAGACACAGACTCAAACCTTTCAGACTAAACGCAGAGCAACCGTTGTCCCTTCTAGGGATCACTGCTGCTTTGGCTGCTCAACGCCGATACTACACCGTGTCAAGTTAATCCAATGGCCTCCAGAGTCCAGGTGGCTTGGGATCGTGCTGTGTGCCTGAGGTATCATCCACCGTCGTCAAGAAAAAATGAGAGCCTTGCAAGCACTGGGCCACGGCACTGGTAGACGATGCGCTTGGGCCGGTCGTAGCTGTACGGGAAGATCCAGAGCCTCAGCTAGCCCGGCCTGAATCTGCTCTGCGCGGCCCCCCCTCGCCGGACACGCCGAGGAACGCCAGACCAAATGCCATGGCAAAGGTAATCAGACAGAGCATCTTCGTGGCCCAGTGAGGAACGGGCCTTGATGGGAGCTGACAGATTCAGCCTACACACGGCAGCCGTCGGATCTCCCAACCACCCGACTGCCATAGCTTCAGCTGCAGGCACAGTATGAAGCGCGCCGACAAGGACAAGAAAAGCCCAGTCATCAATCCGAAGAAAGCCGCCACAACGACGTCGCCAGGAATGGCAGCGCCAGTTCCTCATAGGAGTTTCAGGAAGCTCAAGATCTCCGGTTGCTGCAGAACTCTGCAGGGACTCCAAACTCCTGGCCTGGCCTGTGTCCACGACCCGCGCAGGAAAGCTCGTCTAAGCTCATCTAGGTGGTAAGAATACTATCACAAGCAGAGAGTCTATATGTCAGAGGGCACAGCAGGTCCAACCCCAGCACCAGGAACTGCAGATGAAGCAGCCACGGCAACGCCTCAGCCCGCCGCTGGAAACTTGAACTGACTTGAACTACAGTAGCTAGCCGGCACCCCGGATCGACGTCCGTTGCAAAGCGAACGCAGCTCCTGAAATGTTCGATGCATGCCTTCGTCCAGCTTACATCCGACACAAGCAAAACAACATGACATGGGAGGCCTCATGACCTGAAACCAGAAAACGGCTGGGTCCTAAGAACCGGAGATACCGCGAGCTGTCTCCTGCCATGACACGAAGGCCACCACGACCGAAACCGAGCGGAGTGGTCGAGGGCAAAAGGCAGCCAGGCCGGGCAGCACCGACCACAGCAGGAACCTTCCAAGCGAGGAACGGAAAAGTCAAAAGCACAGGCCTAGAAGAGGCTCGGAGGGGGCCTCGATGCAACAGACACCTTGAAAGATGCAGAAGGACTTACAGAGGCAAGTGGCGGGTAGGATCCCTGCACGGCGACGGAGCTCAGCGAGAGGCCGAGGCACAGCATCGAAGCAAGCGCAATGGACCCTGCAAGGCAGTCCACAAGCGTAGACAATAAAGTGGTACTACATTGTCCCTACCTGCTGCACTGGCAGAAGGCTCACTGAAACTTTGACTCACCGACGATTGAGCTGGTTCCCAACTTCTGTCAAGTCTTGTGGCACCCAATTAAAATTACTGTTTGCAGAAGCCCATGCCTGGCCTTCTTCGATGAGGGACTCGTCTCGGCCCAGGAGTTTCAGGCAACCTGCGCACCAGGGGAACCGGGCCCCTCAAAGCTCCGTCGTTGCAGCTCCGCACCGAGAAAGGCGGCCAGCGCTGGGGGTACGAAAAGCCTTGGCTCGGCTCAGGAGGGCCCTGCCTACTCTAAACTAAGTTAACACCCACACTACTACAAGTGCAAGTCTTCAATACATGTTTTCTCACGCCTTTGTTGCCTGCTTCTGTGCTTCTACTCTCCAGGTTTGGCTCTGCAAGAACGTTCGCAAGAACTTGCCCAAAAGTCTGCACCTCCATTCGTATAAAACCCAGTGTAGCAGAATGCCCTGACTTTGGTCAGGATGCTTCAGCATTTAATGCCGGAATTAAAACGATGGGACCGGACCAGCATGCAAGCATCACAACTACAAGCAAAGTGACCCTGCAATACCAAGCCCGAAGTTACTCTGAACTAGTATTTCCGTGTGCTGGTCCTGCGAGGGTGTGCTGTTGAACTGCCTCACATGAGCAGCAGAATCTCCTGACTATGTGGTGCTACATTGCTACAAAGCCACATTGCCAGTGGCGCTTGCCCTCTTTAGGGCATCTCCATCTGAAAACCTCCAAGCGACGAACAACGTCTCTGCTTACGGCGCTGCTCACGACCCTCAACCGGAAACCCGACGAAACGCAAAAAGAGCTTGGCCGGGGCACAGCGGAGCGAGCTCCGGGTGTCCCGAGCCGGCGAGCGCCGCCGGCGTGAAGGCGACCTCATTTCGGGAGTCGGCTTTGGACAGGTGGGCACGGCATGACACGGCCATGATGACCATGGTCGTCATCGTCATCCTCATCATTACGATAATGGTCATTAATGATTATCGTCATCGTCGCCGTCACGTCATCTTCGTCAGAATCTCTGCAGTATTCAGCGTCCTGAACATCGTCGTCGTAATATCTGGTGAACGACATTACCACCGTCCTCATCCCTATCAGGGCATCGCCCACTGATCGCCACATCCTGACAACTCTCATTCACCATGATCACCACCACCATCATCATCAACTGCAACAGCGGCAACACTACTCCTATCCGTCATCATGGTCGCTTCAGTTGCAAATAGTCTTTATTTGAGAGGGAAGTTGAAACTGGGGTCTACTCTGTAACACATGGACTTGCTCCGTCTTTGCTCTTCTGCATGATCTGAGACGGCACGCTCTCGCTGCTGCAAACACTGGGATCAACAGAGTTTACATCTTACCGTAAACCTATAGAGCGGGCGCCTAAAGCAACGGCACAACAACAGCCCAAGATCCCAATGCTGCTTGCCCTGATTATGACTGCGGCGCTTTTCCACGCAGGAAATTGTCAAGACAACACATCACCCAGATGACGAAGGACTGGCACGTATGCCTGTCGGACGTGATACGCCCACGCTTAAAGACAGTCTTCGCGCACTTCTCGCCTGTTGAATTCCTTGCGCAAGTTTATGGTGTGCAGAAACCAAATTACAACAACTTGCATGTAGTGCGCCAGTTGATGTGAGATTGTTGTCTTGATGCCGAGAGCCTCATGGAACACCGGCTGGAACCTTGGAGCTATGCGGAACAGCAACAAAAACAACTCCGACTCTAAGTGTCCGATTCCTTGGAGCCCTAAAGCAAGAGTCGATTGTCATTTTTTGATTGCATCGGGAGCAACTTGACCAGCAGCCAGGCCGAGACATTCATGGCTGTGGGGATCATGGACCAAGGCCCCAGGTCGAAGCGGACAGCGTGGTACCACACCAAGGATCCCGACATCTCCACGAAGCCCATACCGATCTGCGTGCTTTTGTAAGCGAGGCCTAGGAAGGACTCCTTCACCTCGCTGGCGGGATGACCTTCAAGCAGCTTCCTCAAAGTGCAGAAGGCGGCCAGGCACAGGCAGCCGAAGGTGAGGGCCGAGAAAATGCACTGGCCCTTCACGACTGGCGACCACTGCAGGGCGTAGCCGCAAGCAGAACGCAGCGCATCGCCACCAAAAGCTAGAGTCATGATAACATAGTAGGCCGTAAGACCGACCGCCCCAGTGGAATCCTCAAGGAAGTGTGCGATGGCACCCAGACCGTAAGCCATGGCTGTCCCGATGTAGAAAATGGTGAAGCTGTCTTTCACCACCTGACGGAAAGAACCCCCAAGCTCGCAAGACACGAAAACTTAGCCTTTCCAGAGCGTGCAAGGCACCGACGATCAAGCAGCAAAGGGCTAATCATGGACAGGCCACAAAGTGACTGGAAAGGACAAAAAGCGCAGCAGTCAAAGCCAGTAGAAGATCCTGCGCCCAGCCGCCAGCCTTAGTGCAGGTGCGGATTCCGAAAGATCGGGGAGCCTCAACACGCTTCGCTTCTGCCCCCGTCCAAACACTCACGCGTTGGGCTTGATGCCTTGTCATTGAGATCCCCATCAAAGTCGTCATCAAGCTCATAAACATAGCTCATGGACAAGCCAACCATGGTCACCAGCAGTGCCGTCCTTAGGCATTCTACAGGCAACCCCCACGTGCCCAGAGCTTCTGAAGGTCTACAACTCACTTTCTCCAGCCGACCTGTTGCAAAAGCAAAAAAGCCATCGCTCATTCCAGCGCTAGTATCATTGTCACTGCACCCTTCACAATGGAGTACCAGATGGGCTCCCAATACGTAAGAAGAAGTGTGCTTGCACGCCGCAGCATCCTCTGCCTTTCTGCCGGCTGCTCTTGCAGAAGTGGCTGACCCGACGCCATCTTTGGGACGAGGGGAGAGGTCTAAGCACTGTGGAAAGCAGTAGCGCACCGGTTGGAGGTGTGCCTCGCTGGTTGCCGTAGCATCGCCAAATGACTGCTGAGCATGGAGGGATGTCAGGTTCGTGTGTTTCTACAAGCCGAGCATCAACAGACAAGAAGACGAAGTAGGGATTACAACTACTGTGCTGCGGATTTCTGCTACAGTTCAGTCTTGTACTGATCTGTCTTGTAGCCGCGGCTGCGTGACTGTAATTCGTGATTCCCGACAAAAGTGCGGGGGACACTCTGCTTACCATCCCTTTCTGGGCCACCGTGCAAGCGCGCCCGTTGCTGCAGCCGCAAACAGCGATGAAAGAAAGGCCAGAAAGAGCTTCCTGGGTGTCGGCGAAGTCAACATGAAGGATTGCACTTTAGTAATCTCCGGCAGAAATCTGGGTTCTAGGTCATACGTGCATCCTCTTCAGCCATACTTCGGATTCATTGTGCGGAATCATTGAACCTGTCTGATATCCACAACATCCACAACCGATACGACAGGTCTCACAGCTTGGCAAGCACAAGAGTCAGTGCCGCTTTGAAGATGGCCCCTGCGCAGGCAGCGCCGCGCCTGACGAGCCTCAGAGCTGGTGACAGGAGTCAATAATCGAAAGGACATTCTACATTCGCAGATGGATGCGGTCATGTGTGGCCCTGAAACCGTCGTACTGCAGCTATGATGAGAATGCCAGGTTTGGCTCCGTCTCGGTATCTCCAACACCGACTCACAGCCAAGGTGCAAGCTCGAGAGCACAACGATCGCAGCAGCCACGTGCATTTTCCTGCAATCTCGTTAGCGCGAAGGAGCTACTACTAGGCTCTATACTAGCTCTAAGAGTGCCACCCGCAAATCCAGCTTGAACTCTGGAGCACTTTCACAACTTCGTTTCCTCTCCTGGAAAAACTACGGTCAGGCAGGTTCTCCTTGCCAGATCTGCCGAATATTCCACAAAGAAAGTGCCACCAACATCGAAGAACACTGCGGAATCTGAAACATCATCTCCTGTCACAGGGTCTCAAATCAGTACCGTGCCTAGCCAGCGGTGTTTCGTCGTCGCCAATGCTTGCGAAGGACTCACCCGAAGCCAATCCATTATAAAGCCTTGCCTTGCCTACTGAATACGCCTGAAGGATATACAATACAGCAGATTGCAATCTCGCAGACAGTTTTGCTGGAGCAGAAGTACGCTTCGTGCGCAAAACCCCTATGTCCCTGCCTGTAGGCCGCCCATCACCAAGCTTCTTCGCAAGGCCACGTGCAAAGTCGTTGACAGTGTCACCGTACCTGCCGGCAACTGACGACTCGATCCGAGTGACTCTGCACCACTGGGTCAAAACATCAGCAGTTCGCACGAATTGCCTCTGAACAGACCGGAAATCCAGATGCTCGATGTTATCTCGCCAGGTGTGATAGACCCAGCCATTCGTCAGAACAGCGAAGTCAGCTCCTGCAGGGTGTGTCACACGCGATTCAGTCTATGCTGGCACTTAGAGCGGCAAGTGTTGGCGAGGAGCGCCGAATTTCGTTGCTTGCTGACTCGAGTCAGGACGGCAGGCCTCCAACCTTCCTGACTTTCAGCAGACATGCACATGCAAAAGGTCCTGGAATGCCTCCGAAGTCCCGATATATTCGATAGTCGGTCTCTCCCGGAACGATGCCTGAAATTGCGACAGAACAAGCACTAAGGCAGCAAAAGGTTGTCTTGAGCTGAGAGTCAGTGGACCACTTCTATGTCACAGCTTTGAAACATCCGCCTGTCTGAAAGAGGACCTGCGAAATCGAAGATCCATAAGGCCGCCTCACCTTGGTCTCGTTCGACTTCCGGCTGCAGTCCTCTTAAGACTTACTGAGTATTGCTACTGTTCTTGCTAAAATAAAGCTATAACCATTGCAACTGGAATTCCGACCTAGTCCTCGTCAGAACAAGTCCGCTGCATTGCGATTGCCAAGCCGCATGTTGAGCGTAGGCTTCCACGATCCAGCGATTCTCTGGACCCACCTGTCCAGTCTCAGAGATCCGCTGACCCCCGCCCGCGCTCTTGATTTGGAGGCCCTTCCTTCAGCCCTCCTGCCCATTTGNNCCCCCCCCCCCCCCCCGCCCCACAACCCTCATCCGCCCTTGCCAGTCCCTGGTCCCTGTGCGCCCCCTTGTGCTTCCCCTCGCACTGCCGGCGTCAGCGACAACGACTGCCCTTCTCTCCACCATGCGTCCAACGGCTGCTGCCTGCGCCACCCTCCTGTGGGCGCAGCCCCTTCAGCAAGCAAACGATACAAAGAGGAGTTACAAAGACATCGTCGACGTGCCAAAGAGACTAGGGCCCGGCACCTGGAAGAGAAGTTCGCGACCGCCAGAGCCAGCGGATTCCTTCAAAGCTGAGGGAGATAATAGGAGTTGGGCATGCACTTTCTGGGACGCTTCCGTGGCCAGGGTGCGAGGTTGATCTGTGCACAGAGCTCCGAGGCCCAAGGATGGGAAGTCACGAAGCCGTGCGCAGCGGGCAGGATGAATTCCTGGCGTGACAGCAAGGAAGCGTCTCTGTCAGGAAGCTCCTTGGCGTCTGCACGCTACAGTACATGCATGCAGGCTGCCCCGGAGAGGCTCACAGCCACAGTGGGCACTGTGCCATCCATAAACTGTCTGCAGCACCGAAGCGCTTTGCAATAGATATATGTAACACAACTCCGCTATAACTCCGCTATTATCCGTGTCGACGATCCCGGAAGATTGTTGCAAGCACTCCTCGCCGCCGTTGAAGTTGAAGACGACATCAACATCAAGGGGGTCGTGCAGGAAAAGCCGCAGCAGCTCGGTCATGATGGCAATCTCTGCATTCGCATCCGACGTTGCCACAGATCCAATGGCCGAGTCGAAGTGAGAAGATATTAGCAAAGCACAGGTCGAGTTTGGTCTCCGGCCACGGACCCGCGCGACCACGTTCGTGAGATTTCGATAGGCCACAGTGAAGCCTCCGATGAAGTCCAAGTAGAAATGACCGGAAGCAGACTGCGTCTCCAACGTCAGCCTTGACTCGCGGCCTTCGGCAGATTTCGCAATCCTCCAGAAAATTCAGAAGACTCAACGAAACGGAGCGCCAGATCCACTGCAAACACAAAGCCCTGGCTACCCTGCCATAGGAATAATGCCAATCCATCCGAGAGTCTGCCGCAGGACTGCCTGAACAGCACAGACCTCGTTGCCGCTCGCACCAACGTACTTGGGACCGCAGGCTTCCAGCTCGTGCAAGACCTTGGTTTCCAGAAGCGTGACAAAGGTGTGTCGATTGTGTCGGCTGGACGAAATTGCAAGCAACCTCTAAGCCCAGGCTGGCAACATCTCGTGTCCGATCGGCGCTGAAGCCGTCTGAAAGTGGGGAGTCCGCCGGGACGATACGGGGCACCTCGACTATCATCGGAGCTGGAGCTTGAATTCGCAATCTCGTCACGAAACCATTTTTTCGCTGTTCCGCTGCACTCTTTGAGACGAGTCGCAGCCCACTGCTCCGACAAGACAAAAGTCATCAAGACGCTGAAGGAGATCAGCGCCAGCCAGGACGTCAGCTGGTCACCTGCCGGCTGAGAACCGCCTGCTGCACCTTAGCGGCGGAACGGCGAGCAGAGTGGCAAACGAAAACCTCAAAAGGAGCACTCGGCAGACGAATTGCCGGGCCTGCATGGCAAACAGTGCGGCCCGGGATCTCCGTCGGCCCTTGAGCAGCCGCCTTGGAGCTTTGAATGCTTTGGCGGCTTTCGCGTGCTGCTCTCTGCGCTCTCTGCGCCTGCGACCCTATAGTCGTACTGCTCACCGAGCTGCACCTCTCGCCGCCGCGCCGCGGGAGCTTACACCCGGCGAGGCCGTGCGAGTCTTCATCGCTCGCAAGGCGGAGCCGTGGGATAGAATGTTAGCTGTGTGATGTTCCACTTTATGGCAGGGTTGGCAGTGGCTTCACTGGCTTGGGTGCCAGCCGACGGTGGCCACAAATCAAATCTCTACTGGCTAGAGTACAACTGGTTAGTCTGAGCGCAGCTTTCTGCTCAGATGATTCGCTCATAGGCCAGTGCGCGAAACTGGTCTGTTGTGTCTCGGTTCTCATCTTGTCGTGAAAGCTGATCGGAAGGGACTTGGCAGAAGCGAGTGCAGAAGCTGTTCTCATTATCCTTGGTACAGGTACAGCGTGTCTTCGCACAGAATGTGGCAGGCCCTCTGCCTTCACAGATGGCAGAGGGAATCAAAGTCACCACTCGGCCATCGATGAGAGCACGCCTGGGCGACTGGGCCGTCCACTGCGTGTCGGCATGTGCTGGGCATCGGGGCCAGGACCCTGGAAAGTCGGAGCTTTCCATCGCAAGGCTCCTTGCAACGCCACACGTCCAACTTCGATGCCGGCTGCTGCCAGGCAGTCGGACAACTGTGCTTCCAAGGTGCTGCACGTCAACCCGAAACCGAGGTCCTCGGCTTGGACGGAAGGGATATGCAGCCAGAGCTGAGGCACTGAGTCGTGAGCCGAAGTCGAGCCCCCTGTTCATATAAATTTTGGGCTGAAACATCTCTTCAATGGAGGAATAACATGACAATCGGTTGGACGATGCCGAGAATTCTCCTCCTACCAGGTTCATACGACGGCGACTAAAACAACCACTCCACCAAGCAGGCAATAGTCGAAGTGCATGAGTCGGATGAACAAAACAGGTTGTAATATGACTATGACATACTATGACAATATACTACGTACACAGAGCATCACGGAGCAGCCTTCTTCTTACCGGCTGTCGTACTCGCTGTGTTTTTGAAGCCCGGCTAAGATGCCATCATGCGTGTGCTCGTGACTCATTCTCGCTTGCTTGGATCTGTCCCCAATGGATCTCTCGCAGACCTTTGTATGTGCACGTGCTGCACAAGGGCGGTGTTCTGGAGCGTGCGTGCCGTTTTCACGGCCAGTTGGCTCCGGAAAAGCCACCAGCCTCTCTATGGAACGGCCACACACCGGCAAAAAGTGTGCGGGGGGCGCTGGCTGCACTGGCAGCAGCTCGGCAGGAGCTGGCCCTGGCAGTTCCTTTCTGGACGTGGCTCGGGGAGGTCCGTGAGACCTTGGCCTCTCTTCGGCTTCTCAGCTTGGACAAAGTCATTTCCGAACCCGCAACAGCTGAAAGGATATGAGCTGTATGACCGGAAGACCTTACGCACCAAGTCCGCACTTGATGAACTTTGACAAAGTCGAGCCACATGCGTGGTCTGTGGAATGCTGGTTCAGGGCTTGTCTTGATGATCGGAAGGGCTACTCTTGATGATTGGAAAGGCTTCCGACCCGCGAAGTAAAGGACTAGGAAGTAAGCAGAATTTCAAAGAGTAGACTATTGTAGATGAAAAGGATGGGCTAGGCATCACAAACGAAACGTTTCCTAGCGCGCCAATAGCGCGGAGCTAGCGCGCGCCTAGCCCGGCCTACCCATGTTATCACATATGTTTTGCCTGCGTTGTGATGGCAATCAAAGTCTCGTTCGCTTTCCGGCTACACATGCCCAAAGACGCAGGGCAACAAGCGGACTAGGTGACAGCTTCAGCCAAACACTAACGCATAAAGGCAGTTCACACGCAGCTGGGTAGAGAGATGACGGGTATGATAGCCCTGGTAGCAGCAGCAGCAGCAGCAGCAGCAGCAGCAGCAGGAGCAGTAACAGTAGCAGTGGCAATAACAGCGGCAGTTGCAGTAGCAGGAGTAGGAGTAAGAGTTGAGTACGAGTAAAGGAGTAGGGGTGGGAGTAAGAGTTCAGAGTACGAGTATAGGGGTCGGGGTAAGAGTAGAGAAGGAGTAAAAGGTGTACGGGCTTTTCATCTACTAGCTAATAACTAGATACATCATGCACCACTTGCTATCTAGATCCCTAGCGCCAGGCTACCGCTATCCTAGCGCCAACAAGGGGATTAACGAGCCCTAGTTGCGTGACGCCTCTTATTGAACATACAAATCTAGACCCCAGCAACCAAATAGGTCCTTTTGTATAAACTTCGCGAC